CTGCTCTTGCAGATGATCCAGGTTGGATTCCTAGTCCCCAAATGACAAGTAACAACAGTTTATAATTCCAGTATCCGAGAATCCAGTGCCTTGCTTTAACCTATATGAGCATCAGGCACGCACGTGATACACATAATACATTCATGCAAATCATTCATAGGGACAATATAAAAATAAATAATTATTTTTAAGATAGTGATGTTGCAAGTCATCAGTTCAGGTGTGGGGTTTTGATGTACAGTTGCCTTTGAGTCATTCATGCTCGTGAAAGTAACCTTTCAAACAGATTCCTGTGATAAACTCATAAACTCATGTCTCTCCAGGTGGACTTTGTAAGATTGGCTATATTGATCTGTCAATTGTGTCCTACTGAGGACAAGGGTATTTGCTCTCGTCTTTCCTAGAAAGTTGAAAAGCACCATGTAGTACCCAAATAAACTTATGAGTAAATAAACTACATAAAGCATCTTTTCTCTATCCTGGTTCTCCCTACACCCTAGACTGCAAAATGGCAGCTTTCTATACTTAAATGATCAGGCACAAGTTAGTTAGTTATTATGTCAATAATCAAAGAATCTTGTGACAATACTCTTTGGAATGGCAGGCCTGAGTCTAAGTAATCATTAAAATCTCTTGTGTAGTTTCTCTCATTGGGAGTTCTAGGTCTCTCAAACCTTCCTACTACAAAATGACAAACAAATGATAAGACAAAGGAGAGAAAAAAAACCCAAGAGAAACAGCTGACTATAATCATTTTAAGCCTTCTCCTGATTGTGCACAGCATTCTGACAAGGAAAAAGGGCCAGAAAATCATCTCAACTGTAAGACCACAAAGGAGAGGCATCCAGGCATTTACTCACAGGTACAAGAGCATCAGGATGGTAGCCAGCAGTGCCAATGTTTCTATGGCAAAGTTTGGAATCAGGTCCATTGCCCTTTTTCTTCAAGAAATTTCTCTCTGACTTTTCCTAGTAGGTGAGAACATGAGTTCCCTTTCTGAGTCCAGGGGTGAATCCATGAAAACAATCTGCAGTATTTATACTGTAGGAAAGGGGGTGGAGCAGTCACTACTGCAAATAAAATGACCAACAGACTATCTATCACGGGTATAGATAATGAGTGTCCTCTTCAGTTGACAGTAGTTGATAGTTCACAGTAATATGTATTTAAACTTTTCAAAGTTATTTTTATGTAAGAAGTTAATAAATAACTAAACCAATATTCTTGGTAAGATCAGAGGTCATGGATGTTTACCAGAAATGGAATAGAATGGGTGACATTTTATTTCCTTTAATATTTCTGCAGCTGTCATAACTGCAAAACACGTTAAGCATTTGCATACAAATTCCATCTATAAATCCCTACAAATGTGTATTCTTATCACTAACATCTTTTTGTAGTGTAGAATATTAACTATATTTTATAGCCATTTTGGCAAAAAATTCACTTCATCCCTTCATAAACTAAAATTTTCCATGCATTTCATTCTTTTTTCTTTGTTTTTTTTTGGCTTAAAAAAATCACTTCATCCCTTAATAAATTAAAAACTTCCAAGTATTTCTTCTTTTTTCCTTTTTTTGTCTTCTAGGACAAAGTTCCTCTCTTTGTACCTCTGGGTTCCATGGAAATCACACTGTAGACTAGGCTAGCCTCAAACTCACAAAGTTCCATCTGCTTGTGCCTCCACAGTGCTGGGATTAAAGCTTTATGCCACCACTGTCAGGCTACATACCTTTCTTTTTTTGTCTTTTTTTTCCACCATTAATGGTTTCTATACATATTCTCTTTACACAATGATATTATTAAAAGAAATAATATAAGAATTTTTGACCATTATATTCCCAGTCCCTATGTCAGGTAACTGAATTAAACATATGTCAAGAGTCAATAAATTGTATTAGTGTTACCTCAACACTTCCTTTTGGAGTAGTTTGAACAAAAGAAAGGCCAAGCTTGATCTCTCTCCACTCCTCCCAACCCATGCACCTCTCTGTGTTCACTATGTGATGGTCTATCTGTAATCTGTGCATGTAAATCTGACTGTGTCTTCTGCTTATGTATGTGACCCAACAAAGCACTTAGCTCTGTATTTATCTGACATTGCAGAAAACATGGCATGGCAAAGGGATAATGACATATTCCTTAGAGAAAACTTTAACAAAGTTTACAGAGTTGGAATTAATTTACTGACCCCAACAAACCCTGAAATATCCAGAAAACAAAAAAGCACTGCAAAAAAACCCATACACTAGCAAGCTATATTTATGTGTTGATTACATCATTTATGGTGAATATAGGGTTGCTTCCTACCTGTTAGCTATTTTCAACAAATATTTACCACAACACACATACTGCCATGCATTATTCTGAGCCAGGATCATGTGGGATGCATAATTTAAGATAAAAGCTGTACATTTGCTTAGGTTGTAAAATCTCATTGTATGGGAATCCAAGGTAAATAAAGTTGGCTGTAATGTTATTCTCTTAAAGAGGCAGGTTAAACAGACAGGGTGAGTGCATGGTAGAGTATCAGGATATGTATTTATAAGTCTAATCCTATGTAGTTGGAAGTTTTCCTGTGTCTTGGCCTGCTGGTGGTCCGAGACAAATCTCTCCCACTTGTGTCCCCCAATTAAACACACAGAGGCTTATATTAATTATAACTGCTCAGCCATTAGCTCAGGCTTATTTCTGACTACCTCTT